TATACATATATATAATATATATATATATATATATATATATATATATATGTATGTATAAACCTTTCGACCTTATAACGAGAAATTCTCACGCGGCGCAGTTCTCTCGCTGCGTATCAAATTGATCGTATTATTGTGCTACCCCCCGAATCGATACCGCGGTACATTATTGATCGAAATTATATTCGAATCGCAATTGATCGCTTGCTTGACGACCGACAGAGAACCCGAATCATCAGCGGACTAGAGCGCACTTGAGAGCGCGCTCTTGTTGTTCCGGATAGCTCTACTCCCCATTCGCGCATCCTGCGCGAGAGGCACGAGGTAGCACGCGTTGCCGGTCCCGGAAAAAGCCTCATCCGTTTATACGTTCTACAAAGCGCGCAACAAAAGTCAGAGCCGATGTCGCACGAACGCTCCCGACGTCACTCGAAGTTACGGCGAGATGGCGAGGAAGATGATACGACGGGACGAGAGAAACGGAGGGAGAGAGAGGGGTCGAGCGGAGAGATAGAGAATGTACTTGCGGGAGCGAAGGGACAGGGGGATGATACGATGAGAAGGGAAGAGCGTTCGACGCGCGATGGACGCAACAGACTAAAAATCTCGGATATTTTCGGCCGCGTTCGGCCACCGTCGGATGTAAAATTTATACAAAAATACAAATGCACGACGAATATTAGCTGGCGTTATGTATATTAACCGAGAGAGCCGTCCGCGATAAATTCCCGACTTTGTTCGACGTTGACTGGCGTTACGTTCGCGCGACCGCAGCGCCATAATAATAAAAAAAGCTGTAATATTAATCGTAGCAACGGGCCGCATAATTATTCGCCTGGCGACGCAAAATAGGAGAGCGAGTGCTAAAATAGTATTTGCAAAGCTAGGTTAAAAACGAATAATAGAACAAACAGGTATCCGATCAATCGACAGATCTAAAAGCAGGGCCGACTGTAAATTCACGGTGACCCCTTATCCGTCAAACCGTTTCATCATTAACGAGCGATATCGATTTTGTTATTAATTTAAGAGTAATGCAACAAATAGAGCTAAAATCGAAATACGTTTGATAAAATTCGATATTTAATTCCTTTTTTTTTTTTATTTAGCATGAAAAATTACATTTAGGGGCTCTTGATCCCCTACTGTAATCATATTATATCATGATGTCAGAGAGGCAAAATAACCATATGAATATTTTTCCTGTGCCGCACGCATAGAAATAAATTAGTTTTTTTTCGCGTGTCACACAACTCGTATTCGACGGGATAGATTTATGAAACGTGGACTAATAATATAGAGATGGCTGTAAACCTTGATTAACTATCATAAAAGATCATAATCCAATATGACCATAGTAAAGAGCCGAGTGCCTTAATGTAAATTTCGCAAACTTTAGATCTAGATTTAACGTTTAGTTTCGACGTTGATTAAGTGTAGACTTAATCACAATGGGATAAGCAGGAACTTTACTGTCATATCTGAGATATATTGCATGCTACACTATTTATTTATTGTGATTCGCGTGATAGATTGAAAAGTAGGATGTTGCAATTGTAAACATAATTAGGACTACATTACTTATAAGCCAGCCAGTACCATTTAAAAATGTAATTTAACCAAAGGTTGAAATATTAAGTATACATATATTATCTGTTTTATTCTTGTATTCTATATACAAATATTTATATATTATAGAATTATCTTAAAATAATACAAATATTTTTAGAAATTTCAAATGTTTTTTATTGCCTTTAAGACAAATCTGTATACATATATTAAACTTAGACAAATATGAACTTTAAAGTTCATATATATGTATACCTCATAAAACATATATTAAATAATATATTTTAACCTAGGCGGAATTTATGTAATGTTTAGCTAGGCATAATAGATATAACATAAAAACAAAATACTCATATCTCCTAAAAAATATATTTCTTTATCACAATGTTCTTTTATTAACACAGCTTTGCAGCAGACTTAACAGAATAAATGCACTGTTTCTTTTTTTTTTAGAAATCTTTTTCATTGGACTGTAATATATTTTGAAGGTTCTTGTGTATTTCTAAATTGCTGCATGTGCAATGTCATTTGCTTTGTGAATTAATGCCTTCGCTATCCTCTGCTTGAAAATATATCTGTAAAGATAACACAATAATAATTTTTACATTTCCTTATGAAAGTAGTATTAAAAAAGTAGTATTAAAAGCATCTTTAATTTGTGAACAATATTATGTTGTTCTAATACAGATATTTGCTTATTTTTGACAGTTCACCAAGCATTTATAAAATACCTCTCTCTCTCTCTCACATACTTATAAAGATTTATATAAGTAAGAAAAACGATAAAAATTACTTATACCAATATAAACTATATATGGCAAAAATTACAATTTATATATTATATTATATATGCATTACTATTTTTATTTATTATATATAGATATACGTGAGATATCTTTACTGTTACAAAGACAAAGTTTACTTCTTATACCATAATACTTCTATTTTAAAAGAATTTTACAATGTTGACTCTCAAATATTATATCTCTGTGATTTAAAAAGCACTTTACAAAATTTCAAGTTTTACTCCATGACACAAAAACATTTATATATTGAGACAACACAAATATTACTAAATATTATAATATGTAACATACAAATAATGTTCATCAATTTCTTTGACAAAATAATAAAGGTAAATAATAAGACTTTATAAATAATAATAAGTAGTAATAACTTACATTGCTTATCAAGATAAATTTTCTGTATTCTCTTGAACACGCTATCTTTCTCAGACATCCGTCTACCTATAATAAAACATGCAAAATTATATTATAGTATTATCCTGTAACGTATAATCTGTCATAACGTTTACAGTATTCTCTCTCTCTCTCTCTCTCTCTCTCTCTCTCTATAGAATCGGACATACATATCAACCATACCGTAACATGATCCTTCCGCTGGTCGGTGAAGTCCCCGTAAGTTTCGCGTCGTCGCTAATTGTTCCGCGCCGATGTTATTTCAGATTGATAAAGCAGCGCAATTTGCGGCCGTATGTATCCCGTCGAGGCTGCCACATGGCGTCGCGACGCGTTGCCATTTTCATTAACGCGTTATGCCGCCGCCGTCGCCGCCACGAGAGACGAGCATTCGGTACGCCACGAATGTGACAGCCGGACCCGAACGCTTCGGTTAAGGTCGAGCGGATTCGGTCCCCCTCGGATTTAAATATCGGCCGGAAATAGGACCTCCGTTCATCTCGCGCAGCATCGTGGAAAGCGGGTAGTAGGGGCTGCCGGAGGAGGTCCTTTCGATCCTTTCTCAAGCAGGATTGCGTTGCAGACTGGCAGAATTACTATAACAAAGCAGCATTTCTGTATTAAATAGATTAATTTTGTATTAGACTTACTTTCGCAATTTCAATTTGTTTTTCGATCAAGTATGACTGACGTAAATTTAATATGTCTGACATCCCTTAAAAACACGTATCTATAAACTTTGCTAAATTATATTTTATATGGATTACATGGATTCTTCAATTAATATAGAATTCTTTTTATTGATTTTTCAACATTTTCCAACAAAACAGTAAAAGATGAAAAGTTTGTAAACAAGCAGTTGGAAATAAAAAATATTTCGGATAAAATAAGCTTCAAAAATGCAAACTGTATAACGAGATACACATTACTTATCTAATTAAAAGAGACAAAGAGAATACATTTTTTATTTAAGTATTACGTTAAAAATATTGAAAACGAATTTATGGCAATAACTTCTCTTAACGTTGCCACTCATTTTAATTAGTTAGAAACTCTGATAGATAAATTATTTGATTTAAAGTTATTCCATATAGTAATCGTGGGGAATATGAAGCAAATGGAATATCGACCACAATATTTAAAATTGTGGTAAAGATGTGAAAGCAGTAACAGTTTAATATAAAATATGTAGACGATAAAAACATTAAAAATGATTTTGTATTTGATCTCTTTTTGATAATTGACAGCGCTTATCTATTGATACTTTCGCAAAAATCAATTTCAAAAAGTTTATACAAAATATTGTTCATAAAAAATTTAGAAGCAAAAATAATAGCGCTTATTAGTGATACAAATCCTAATGGACGATAAAATCAATTAGGAAAGAAGACGTGAAAGAAAATTGAAGAAAGACTGTATATATCAATTCGACCGTAAGTTTTTGATGTACAATTTTACTAAACTCTTTAAATTAAAAATCTATTAAAATATATATGTAACAGAATAATTTTGAAAATAAAAATATAACGAAAAATTGAATCGTATTCGGAAAGAAACATTATAGTGATTAATGTAAATTATTTGATTTTAACATTAATTATATGATGAATAACGATTTTTCACGCGCGAGACCTGAAGCTAAAAAAATACTTATGAATATTTCCAGCAATGGCATAATTAAAAAAATAAGCACACACATACATATACACTATATATTGCAGTATATACAGTGAAAAAAATTTCTGGTTGAAAATGGATGAATTAGAAATTCGGGTTAAATTTATTAGAATTCTAGTTGAGATAACTGAAATTTTAGTTCATACATTATTTTGGTAAAATCTACTAGAATTCTCATTTTACCAGAATAATTATGTCAATCAAAATTCTAGTTAACACAACTAGAATTCTAGTATATTTAGAGTCGGTTGCTCCACTTTTCGGTAAATTGTATCCATTAGGTAAATCTGGCAATCCGCGTATGTGATTGGTCATAATCTTGATACTTACCTAACAGGTAAAATTTATCGAAAAATGGAACAACCAATCCTTAACCAGAGAATTCTGATTCGTCCATTTTCTACCAGATCTATGCTATTTAATTCAACCAGACCATTTATCTTAGTGTAGCTTAAAAAAATCAATAAGTGATTCTTAAGGGTATTTCACGGAGACATATATATATATATATATATATATATGTGTGTATTATATACCTAGATAGAAACTTAAAAATTGAGTTTCATTAGTTTCTGTATTAGATCATCGTATGACTAACTTGTCGGGTTCACTCATCGTTGATGAAATTGGAGTCAGGAATATTGGAGTAACGTCGCGCGGATAGACGAATAATTATTCTATTACAATAGCAATATATATTTAGTTGCAACACATTACCCGCGCACTCAATAATAAGTGCATCTCGCAAATATCCGGATGTAAGAGTGTTGGTGATACAGCGGCGATCGCTAGAAACCGTGCGAGCGTGACTGTACAGGTTTCCTCAGGTATGTACGAGCCAGGTGGAAACGTACTTGCGAAGGTAAACGGGATCTCTTCACGCTCGACCTCGTCCCAACTTCGATTCGCGACCAACGATCGACCAATGATCGACGAGAGTCCACCCGCGAATTATCACGTACGTAAGGCTGCGCGGCGAATTTATTTCGCATATGCGACACTATTGTTGCTGCGCCACAATTACGTCGGAAATCTATCGCGAGGCGAGTTATGGCGAGACACGCGCGCCCTGTGGTTAATCCTGGACTACTACAGGGAATGTTTACGAACTTCACCCGACGGCTTCATTCGCAAATTCTTTAGCTAATTTGGAGCTCGTTATTCCTTTGTGCAAATCAGGAAAGATATCGATAATTTTTCCAGTGTAAAATCAACAAAAATTGTACAAATAAATTTTATTTGTTATAATATTTAATTTCAAACGAAACTTGCATGCTCTTTTAAATAGCATATGATATACCATACATTGGCAAAAGTGATATAAATATTTATAAAGAAAAAATAATTTTCTCTCCAAGAGAAAGTTTCATATACTGTTTGTAATGTTCGCAAACACGTTGTATTGAAAGGAGGGATTGACTTTTTTTTACGCGCTCATTAAATTTATACGAATAAATCCTGCATATAGAGATTTCCCCCATGAGCCTCTATCTAACTCTAGGTCCTTCGATACAAATGCTCGCGATACGAATCTTCGAAAGCGAGTTAACGGCAGGCGTTATTAGCGCGACAAGGTGAAACCCAGGGGCAGAAATGTCTATTGATTTTTCGAAGAAAACTCGGCATCCCTTCTCTTGGATCCGCCGCCGCTAACCTACATTCGAGTTATAACGGCGGTACGAAGTCTGATAAAATGCGTCCGATAATGAGACCCGCGGCGTATCGCGCCGATAACAAACTCGTTATTTTTTTTTCCTCACGGGGGAAACAGATTTGCTGATTTTTCGCATCTAAATTTCGCTTCCTCGCAAAATTATTATACATTCTCGGATCGATGTCGCGATGATGCTCTCTGTGCTGCGATACCGATATACCTCTATTCCGCGCCGGTACCATACGTTTTCGCCGATTGCGTTCGAATTTCGGAGGGCAACGTAACGTGGCACCATTTAAATGTTCCCGTTTTCGAGGATGAACACGCCAGGATGTACCACCGAGCAACGGAGAGGGCGACTCGGTCGCAACCCCCCATTCGCACTCGCACCGAGGGGGATCGATCCGCGTTCACTCTGCGCACCTACCCCTGCGGCAAAACCCAAATCCGAACCCCGCTCGAAGAGCAGGAGCAACGCCGGCTAAAATCGTCCAGCGTTTTTAGCCGGGGTAAATTTTCGATGCCACCCTGGTTAAGCATGGTGATCTATGCGATTCTCTCCCTATACTCGCACTTTTTTTATTAAGCACTGAAACTGATAGAAACCGACGTAGTTTCAATGAACTCCGACTCGGTACGGGAAAACGGGTCCCTTTATTCCCACAATGGGCTCGCGAAGATTTATATTAATTCCGATTTCCGCTTCTGTAAGAAAAGTATAACTACACCGAAACTAATAAATTACACTGTACTACAATCTTCATTCATTAGGGCGAAATTATCCCCGCTGGTGCAATCTAACTTCACCTTACGATGATATTGCAAGAGCGCTATTAGTAAAACGACATTACTCTCTCTTGAGACCGCGGCCATCAAAAGAAAGTAACGGACTGTGGCGACTATACCGTAATTATATATAATGTGATAAAATATTGCATACGTGAGCTGGTCTACTTTGAATGTGTGATTCGCGAATAGATTCGTCGATGAGGAAACATTGTTTTATATCAGTTAAAGTGAATCAGTTGCTGTCGGGTGAAATTCAGGATGAGAGAAAAGTCGCGGGAGATATTTTGGTTAGCTGACTTTGGACACACGCGAGAGATGTGTATAAATTTCTGTGCGGATATAAACCGCGAGTTCCGGCGCACACGCGCACCTCGCGCCATTCGCGGAGAGTGCATCTGCTGGTCCACCGCCACCTTCGAATATTCGAGATGGAAAATTTACAATCGGGTTCGCGGAGAGTTGAAGATACGCAGAAGGCTTGTACGGTTCTGTGAGGGCGCACGATCGATACGGAAAAGTTCCTCGAAATCCTGAGTAAAGCTTCGTTCGCCTCGCGCTGTTTCGCGTAATCGCGATCGTCAGATCGACCGGATTTGTTCCCGTTCTATGCGTAATTTCCTACGATCCTATATACGATCGTTCAAAACGAAAGTCATCTTCGACCGGCTTCGTGAAAAACGAGACCGAAATGCGATAAAAAGGTATAACACAACGGCATACCGTGCACATTTTAATTTCATTAATTTCTTGCGCTTTAACCGTCAGCGATGTTTGCCTTTCTCGGGGAAGCTTTAGGGTTAATTTTCCTGATAAGATGAGAAACCTTTCAAGTTAGGGAGCGCTAAAGGAAACGTGGCCTCGGAGGATGTCCATCACGGTCATCTCCAACGGAGAAGATAGGGCGTGCGCCCCCTTTCAAAGAAAATGAGATTGATCAGGCATGATATAATGATAATTTTTTTCGATCGCAATCTATTGATTCTGTCAATTACATTTTTTCTTACTTTTGTCCGCAATAAAAGGTTACGCTCATTTCATTATGTCAGTATTAGCTAGTATTATGCTTAAATATGTGATAATACAAAGTTAAGATGATTTAAAAAATAATTTTACTAACATATAGAATCAAAGAAACTCGAGCAATATATATATTCTATTTTTTATTTTATATGTTATGGTAAGAAGTTTTTTCTTAAGAAGAAGAAATAATATTACAAAGTTATATAAATTAATACATAAAATGATGGTATTGTGGCATCTCATTTACATTTTATATAATAACTTGATTATTAATCAATA